CATTTTCCCCCGACAGCACCCTTGATTTGATCTTTGCGCTGAGGTCTTTATTATTTTGAAAATTCTTTGCTGCCTGAAAGATTGCCTTGGGATTTTTACATCTCCTCCAAATTCTGCCTAAAAACAAAATGATTCCATCTTTAACTCTTCTCTCACTCTCTATTTTTTATGATACCAAACCAAAATAAACCAGTTGACATTTTCAACATTCTGCCGGAAATCTTCTTAGCTAGCTCCATCACTTCATTAGGTAGTTTTGCTATTTTTCACATTAGTGTAGATAGGAGTTTTGCTAAACTTTCTCCTATCATGTAACAAGAATTTCTATTCCTCCAATTTCCAATTACATTTTCCTCAACTTTCCTTTGAACCTTCACCTGCAGTCTTTTCAAGTACTTTCCAGCTTTCCTTAACAGTATCATCGAGGCCTTTCTGGGATCTCCTACCACCTGGTCCCAAGACCAATGCCACAGTTTCATATGGCAGATGGCAATGTCTTGCTGCCAGGTGCCAAATTCTGTTCCACTTATCTGTGGCTGCATAACAAACTACTTCAAACTTAGTGGCATAAAACAGCAACCATTTTATTATGCTCACAGATTCTGTGGATTAAGAACTTGGACAGGGCACATAAGGGATGGTCTTTCTATGCTTCATGATGTCTTGGGCCTCAACTGGGAAGACTCAAATGGCTGGAGTATGGAATAGGCGAAGTTTGAGAATCTACTTCCAAAATGGCTTGTTCCTGTGTATGAATGCCACTTGATGGGCATGGCTGGAAGACTGCACTGAGCTGAGTCTCGTGGCTAGAGCACCTACACATAGCCTCCCTAGCATGGAGAAAAAGGAGCTAACAAAGGAGCATAGAGCTATTGAGGGACAGGATGGGGCTCACTCCTTTTGGTAGGGTTTTCTTAGGAAAGAAAGCAGAGACCTTGGAAAGGGGTTAGGGACAGTAGGCCAAGAAGAATGTTCCTCATGCACCTGTGTGTCGGGTCCACTAGCCAGACTGGAGTGAGGCATAAGACATCTGTGAGCTGGATCAGGTCAGCTCAGCTCTGGAATTTCTCCAGCCTCACTTGGGAGCCTGAGAATGAGAATGAAGAGACTTGGTGTGAAGACCACCCCAGGGGGGCAGGGAGGGAAATGTGCACAGGGATCGCCACTCGAAATAGTAGCTACCAGTAGGGAGTGGATGGTGTAGTGGGTTGAATAGTGGTCCCCCCAAAAGATGTTCAAATTCTAAGCCCTGGTATCTGTGAATGTGACCTTTTTGGGAAATAAGGTCTTTACAGCTGTAATGAAGGATCTCAAGAAGAGATCATCATCCTGGATTTATGGTGGACCCTAAGTCCAATGACAGGTGTCCTGATAGGAGAAAGGAGAGAGAGATTCAAGACAGAGAGACTCAGAGGAAAAGGTCATGTGAAGACAGAGGCAGAGGTTAGAGGGCAGCCGCGGGCCAAGGAACGCTAAGGGCTGCCAGCTGCCACAAGCCAGGGGGGAGGCATAGGGCCATTCTCCCTTCTAGCCTAGGAGGAACCAATCTTACTGACTCCTCCATTTCAGGCTTCTTGCTTCCACAGCTGTGGGAGAATAAATTGCTTTTATGGGCCATCCAGCTTGTAGTACTTTGTTACAGCAGCCCTAGGAAACTAATGAAGACAAAATGGATACGTGATAGATATAGTGAGGCCGAAAGACTGGTCGGAGGCAGGGGAGGTGGGGGAGCCAACGTTACCAGTCCTGCCCACCCCACTGCTGACTGGACTGCCACCCCATCTCTCCTACCAGTTCATGCCCCTCAGCCTTTCATACCCTTCAGGCCCTGATCCACATCTCCTCAGCCCGTTCTTCCCTGCCGGGGTGACTTTAAAGAGCATTTACTTGGGACTCAGCGGAGTGATCTCAAGCCGTTGTGTATGTTTTCTCTCTTTCAATACAGTTAGTGTTTTTTCTCCCTCTCCTATCTCTTGCTGTCTTTGGAAGTGCTTTGCACACAGTGGGCGCTTAATAAATGTTACTTATTCTCTCTTCAAAGTCCCCTAACTGTTGCCCCGCACCTTTCCCTGTTCCAGGTTAATTTATACCAAAACCTGCCAGAAGCTAGGATAATGTCTCCCATTGCTCCACTGTGATGTGTTCCCTTCCCACACCCCACCCTCAGAAACAAGTCCTTCAAAGGAACTTGGTAATCTAATCATCACTCCATGTGTCTTCTAAACCTACTCCCAGTCACTAACTTGTGTATAAACTTGGATAAGTCACTGTATCTTCCACTCCTTAGTACCCTTTTAGGTTCAATAAAAGGGTTGCTGTGGATTCATTCATTCATTCCTCCATTCACTCACAATGTGTTTATTAAGAGAGTGCCACAAGCCCTGTGAATTCAAGGGTGAACAAGACACAGTTCATGCCTTCAAGGAGTTCAAGTTTTATCGAAGGAGGCAGGAGTGGTTAAAACCCAGCTAGAGTGGCACAGGGCAGGGGGCCTCCCAGGTGGGAGTGGCCAGGACACCTGGGGGAAGGGCTGAGAAAAGCTACACAGGAGAGTTGACTTAAAGCTGCTGTTCTTGGGGACCCTTCCAAGTACAACAAGGCTTTCTTTCTAGAGAAACAAATTTTGGGTCAAAATAATAACCTTCTAAGGAACTGTGCACAAAGGAGCCTCTAGCAGGACTGTGACAGGTGCCAGCTCTCTGGGATTCCTTCCAACGCTAGGATCGCAAGAGTCTCCGCAAAGGGGAGCAGTGTCTTTCTTCTACATAAATGTGGAGAGTTAATTCACACTTACATACACTGGGAGAAGCAGCTCTGGTGTGAACCTTTCACCCCAAATCCAGTTGAACCTCACGCACAGACTCCCCGAGCCATCTGAGGCGACAAGCAAAAGGCAGACAAAGAGCTCAGGTGTCATAATTACTTTTATTCTTATCTTCTGTCAGTCACGGACCGGGAAGGTGAGGCCGGGGCAGGGTAGCACTTGCGACTGAGGGTGTGCGTCCTCAGACACTGGGAGGAAGCTCCAGGGTGGGATGCGCACAATGGTTTACAGCAGAAAGGTAAACAATGTCCGAGAGATGGGACGATGGTTGGACCAAAGGGAAAGCTGGAGGCTGACCAGAGGCCTGGGGAGGTGGGAGGAGAGCCAGGAATGGAAGCCTGCCCACAACAACTCCTGCCCTTGGGCCCTCTGTCTCCGCTGCAGAACCAGGCCCTGCTTTTCCTCAGGCAGCCACCGAGGGGCAGCAAAGTGCTTGTGTGAAATCCCAGCCCAGCAGAGAGCTGACAGCCTTGGGGCTTGTGCCAGGTGGGCCGAGGGACGAGAGGTGGAGCCTTTCAGAGTAAGGGTGTCTGTCTGATCCTGACTCCCCTGGTAGGAAGAGCAGAGGATGGAAGAACCAAGATTCCTGGGGCTTCCCCAGGCGATACAGGAGGAGGCAAGCATGCACCTTGGAATCGGGGTGGAAGTCAAGGAACTTGCATGTGCCTCTGGGGTCCCCAATCTGCAATCTCCGGGAGAGGATCTCTTGGTCTGTCTTCCCCTCAGCAGGAGACCTCTGACTTCACATCACAGATGGTCAGATTCCTGGCTGCCTCTAGCTTTATGAAACCCAACCTGTCCCTTCCTGGGCCCAGTCCCACCTCTGCCAAAAATGTGAGGGACAAGCAGGTCCCCTCCTCCTCTGCAGCTTGTGACACCTGCCCATTTTAGGTTTCTCAGGTTTCTCATAATCCTGCATTCCTGTTCCCCTGCCCTTCCTCCTTCCAAGACCCATCCAGGTGTTCCTGGGGCTCCTTGGGGCTTGGATGCAGGTGGAATGCTAGGTCTCAGCGCTGGCTCTGCTGCCAGCTTAGTGCCCCCTGGACCCTCTCAGGACCCAGAGGAGGAGACTGCAGCATAATCTGCTTTGCCATGGCCCTGAACTGTTCTTCACATTGTTTATTGCCAAGGGCTTGACCCCCGCCCACCCCCTTCTGCCTCAGCTTTTGGAGCTCAGCGTCTCAAGTCCTGGTTTCTGCATAAACTGTCCTGTGAAGAGGAGGACTTGGGGGAGTGGATTCGGAGAAGTGAGGCCAAGGCCTGGCTGAGTAGCAGGGCAAAGGGGGAGTTCTGATCCCTCAGAACCGAGTCAAGAGATTAGGAGATGAACGAAGGGGCAACTGGATAAGAGTGTTTGTGGAAATAAGTGTTCTGGTGCCTCTCTTGTGCCACTTGGTCATGGTCTTCCTTCTCGCTGATAGCAGAAGTGAACCACAGACAGCAAGAAACGTTTGCTTAATACCATGAGGCAGCGAGGCTGGGAATCAGACACCAGAACCTGGCTGCCTAGCTTGTGTCCTGAAGGTGGAAACCAGGGAGTGAAAAACTGGTGGTGGTAGTGGGAGGGGAGATGGAAGGCCAGTGCTGTCACCAAGGACAACAAATCTCTAGTGATGCAGAGCCTTGACCACCATGCAGCCTCATTGCAGCCCCACCCAGTCTGTTATACTATCCTGGGCTCATTACCAAGCCCCTCGGTCTCCTTTGCCATGGGGATATGCAGAGTCCCACCTTTGTAGGATGGCTGAAATGGATTAATTTAGGACAATACACAGTAGGCATCTCACCCATGCTCGCAATTGCCTTTATCTCACAAACAACCACCGCCATCACGTCTTGGTTCCCTGTCCCCTCAAATACCCAAGATGTAACAAAACTTCAGATGCTTCTGTAATATTTCTTGAAAGCTGAAAATAGGAAGTGTGGGAAGGGAGGGTTTGGGAACACAGATAGTACGCCTAGTCACTCTCCCCAGGGGCAAACAGGTTCCTCAGCATAGGGGTAAGAGAGGTATCTGGAGGGACAGGAATCCACTCTGAACCTCTCTGACCCCACCCAGTAACTTTCCACTGGCCTGGAGCCGGCTGCTCGCACACACATGCTGGCCGCACTGACTGCACGGCTTCCCCCAGGCGTGGCCCCCGGCCCCCCCCAGGGCCTGCGGGGGGCTGGGTGGCTGACGCACTCCCTGCTTGAGATCTCAGCCGCCTAGAGGCTGATAAGGAGGCCTGGCCTCATCACATGGGGCCAGCTGGAGGGACCGGCCCTGGCTGGATAGCTTCCAAATTACAGAGATGAGGCGATAAGGAGCGGAGGGGGCTCAGGGACTCTGTGCTGAGTGGCAGGAGAAGCTAGGGAAAGGGACACAGGCACAGCCAACTGAGGCCTCAGGAGGCCTGACTAGGGATAAGCCAGCAAATGGCATTAGATGGGGGAGGGTTTAAGAAATAAATGTGCGGAAAACCGCCTGTGGAAGGGCTGGGGGCAGGGTGAGGCTGAGACAAGAGGGTGAGAGGAATAGGTCTCAGTCCCGCCAACCCCACAAGCTTCCTGGGTGGATGCAGGTCGGGTGACCTGGTGGGACTGCAGAGCCCAGACCTCCCAGTTCGCTGCCCTGCACCCACCTCCCTTGGAGCCCCAGGACAGGCCCCCACTTAGGAGCAGGACCTCCTGCTCCCGCCTCCTGCCCCAACAGTGCTCTGTCATGACCCAGGAGGGTAGAGGGCTCTCCCTTCCTATGCCTCTCTGGGTGCTCTTGGCCTCAGGGCTCCAGTCCCTAGAAATGGGACAGCCATACTGTCTACCCATCTCCCCCTCCAGCACCCTATAGACCACCCTCGCCTCATCTCCCAGTCATCCCAAGCCCCTTCCTTACAAAGCCTGACCTGGAAGGAAAGAACAGAGGATGTATTGGACACAAGATAGTGTGGCCCAAGGTCACACGGCTGTGACAGCTTTAGGGGGGATCTTGGTGGGGGTGCAGGGCTCAGCCAGGCTTCCTGGGGTCTCTTTCCTATATCTGAAATCCTGTTGATCTCCTCTCACTTGCCCCTTGGGTCCTCAGACCCAGAGGACCCTCCAGCCTGGACTGTCCCAGTTTGGGAGATGTAACTTGGGGGAAAGGGTGGCACAGGTCATGGTGTGACCTCAGCCCCGCAGGGCCCCTCATGGCACAAGTACAAGCTACAGGGAGTGAGAATGAGGGATAGGCTGAGGGAGTGAGCAGGCTGGCCACGGGCTGGGCTGGCAGCTAGTTTATGTGTGGGCTTAGAGGAGCACAGGGAGGGTCAGAGGACAGCAGGGGAGCATTCTCTGATGGAAGGGGTGGCGGGAAGGGCTCCTCAATCCCGGCTGGTGCCAAAAAGCTGCAGGAAAAAGGTGAAGATGTAGATGATGTCTAGGTAAATGTTGAGGGCTCCAAAAATATACTCCTCGGGGCTCAGCGTGTGGCGTCGGTTACCCATCAGCAACTGAGTGTCAAATGCCAGGAACTGAGGGAAGGGGAAGAGAAAGGAGAAATCGGAAGGTTCAGTCACTGTGACACTGATCAAGGGGACCCAGTGTTCCCACCCAGGTCCACTCCTGATTTTGTTACTATCACATGCTACCCGACTGTTCGGTGACCCTCCTGTGACAGCCCAGAATCTGGAACTTCCCCAACACCTTCTGTCTTAACTGAACACCTACTATGTGCCACGCACAGGGATACAGCAAAGAACAAAAAAAGACAAGATCCCTTACCTCATAGAGCTTCAAGTCTAGCGGGAAGTAATTGTTAGTATGAATGTAACCAAAACACAGGGTGCTGATCACAAGGAACCTGACCCTGTGTGAGTGTGGCAGGGAGTTAGGGAAGGCTTCCTGGAGGAGGGGACCTTAAGGGACCTTCAAGCTGAGTCCTAGTCTTCTTGCCATTCCCTCAGGGCCCTGCTCTTAGAAGATAAACGAATGCTTCAAGCAATGGCGAGCAGGGAATGGGCACCCATTAATGCTTTACAGACATTAGCCTGCTTAGTCCTGATAATCTCCTTACTGAGTAGAGATTCTAGTAGTCTTAGAGAAAACGGAAATGTTAAGTACATGCCTAAGGTTACACAACTGGGAAATGGCAAAGCCAGGATTTGAACCTGAGCAGGCCTCCTCCAGAGCCCCCATGATAACCATTCTGCTCTGCTGCTTACAGACAGCACCAGGGGCTTGTGCCTCCTGCCAGGAAACAGGTTCTCAGCTCTCCCCAGGACACCTTGGCCTCCTGGACTATGAACAGTTATTCCCTTAGAGAAGGCTCCTCTCTTCCACCCTGCTGCCACCTATCAGGCCTTCCCACTGTCTACAGCACCTCCTCCAAATAGCTTTTCTCTGGGGTCCCAGCACAAAGAACAGAACCCCTCAAGAAGCAGCATATGAAACTTGACAGGCATGCTGTGCCTTTCTGGGAGAAAGAAGCCAAAAAGTTCCACCAATGTCTTCAAGGTTATGAACCACTGATCCACATTGGATTGGAATTCTTTAAATTGACTCACATTCCTGTTAACTGGGCTGTGCCCGGCTCTTCCGTCATTGTGCGTGGCCCTGTATTCCTTGGGCCCTCTGGAATATTCATTATATTATAAATATGTATGGGGCAAGGGCTGGTGCCAGCAACTGGCCGAGAGCTGCAGACAATGGGGAACGCAAATGCCCGCCTTTGGGGGGCTCACCACTTAATAGGGACTCTGAGATGAGTACAATAAAACCCAGTGAATGCCATAATTAGGGCTGACTGGGTAGGAGAAAAGTGTTCCAGGAGAGGTGACACTTAACCTGGGCTTTGAAGGATGCGTAGGAGTTTGCTAGACTGAGAAGGCATGGTGTGATGAATGAGGAATTTAGTGTGGCAGGAGCAAGGAGGAAGGAGTGGAGAGAGAGGCCTGGGGCCTGCCCCTGAACCTTGCACTTTACCCTGGAAGCTGGGGTCCAGCTCCCTTTCCTTCACCCTAGACACCAACTCCCTGAACTCTAGGACCCAGGCTTCTTGGAGTTGCTTTAGGTGCAGCCCCATGGATCCCTGCCTTGGTGCCAATGCCCCCAGTGCACAGGGGGCAGCTCCAGCAAGTGGGACATGGAGGCACATAACCCTCAAAGGTGAAGAGTAGGAGCTGATTATGAACGCGGGCTTGAAAGTCAGCCTGACTGGATTCTAGTCTTAGCTCCGCTACTCACTAGCGATGGGCAAGGCATTTAGTCTTTGAGTCTGTGAGTCCATGTTGGTAAAAGGGAGATGAGTACTTTTCTGAGGTGGTTGTGACAGGGAGATAATGCGTGCAAAGCACCTGACACAGTGCCTGACACGCATTAAGCGCTTAATAAATGGTAGCTCTTAATGCGGTTTTATTGTTATCTGCAGAAGGAGAAATGCCTTCTTGAGAACATGTGTCCACTGCTGCTGAGCCTCCAGTGTCTCCCGTGGCTCATCGAGGAGACAGAAATGTTACTAGGGAAGTTGTGTGGCCTTAACAGAAGGGCAATGGGGAGCCATGGCCAGGGCTGTGAAGGCCCTGTGCGGGGTATGCCAGCCTCTCTGAGCTCAGGGGCACTGAGAAAAGGGCATATGAAAGCGCAGGGCTGGAGCTGGAACACCTGGGTTTGAGTGCTGGTTCCATCCCTCAGTAGCCATCATCCAATTGACCCCAGTGTCCTCATCTTCAAAATGGGACAGTAGCAATGACCCCACCACAGTGTGGTTTTGAGGGTGACTATATGGCAGTGTATGTGGCATCAACTATTATTATTTCTTAGCATCGTCTCACTCTATTCTATGCTCCTTCTGAATTTGACTTGGATTCCAAAATACATTTTCCTTCTGTAGGGAGAGCAGGCAAGGAGAGGGGCCAACTCCAATGCTCCAGGCTGCTTAACAGTCACAGCTGCTGGCAGAAGTTAATAAATTGCTGATCTGGCTTATCAATCAGTAGTTTGCTTGGTTGATTGCCCAGAGCCTGGTCACCCCTGGGTGAGCTAATAAAAATAAATCTCTCAACTTAGAAGGCTGGGACCTGACCAGGTTTGGGGGTGGCCCTCCAAGAAGCACTCACCCCGGAGGCCTCTTAGAGCAGCCAGCTGGCTCTTCTCTTGGAGAAAACAGGAATGAAATGGCTTCTGCACCTGCCCTTGGCCTATGGCCATGGATACTTATCTATGTGGTGCTCTCTGGGATAGCCTGCCCCAAATTCAATCCCACTGCCTGGTCGACCCATTATGCAACCTCATGCCTGTGAATCAACTGAAGGCTTTTCATTTATTCCCAGCAATATTTATTGAGCATCTATCATGTTCTAGGGAAATTGCCTTCAGAGAACGAACAGTCTAATGAGAGCAAAAGACATCACCAGAGATTATATTATGGGCAAGCATTCATTACAGGGGAAAGTTACCTACTAATAATCTCCCTGGGTGACGGTAAGCATTGCTAACTAACGTCTTGGTTGAGAGCAGATCTCGGTTATAGTTAACATCTTAGTTGGCAGCTAAGATCTCAGTTGAGAGCTAAAAACTGGGTTAACCACTAACACCCAAAAGGACAGCATGTACTTGAGTTGGTAGCCAGCTGAAGACAAGACCCTGTTGGAGGAACATATGGGATAGGAGCAAGAGGCAGGAGTGGGACTAGATGCTATAAACTGGTGTCCGAATAGTCCTTTTACACGCTTTTTTTTTTTTTTAATCTCATCTCACTCACCCAATTTGTCCTAGGAAGTTGGTGTTGTCACACTATTTTTCATATGAGGAAAGGAGTGTCAGAGCAGGTGACTGATTGATATCTAATGCTGGAGCCAGATGACCTGCCTCATTCTGATGGAGACGGGGAAGAGGGGGCTTGCAGAGAGGGAGGGGACATGCACAGAGGCAGGGGAGCCAAAGCAATTTTCCTGGTTCACCCTACGGGCTGGTGTTGGATCTGGCCAGGGCCCCTGGCTACACACTGGGGCTGACCCTGCTGTGCCCAGGGCTTAGGCTTAGGCCTGTTGTTCCCCCAGAGATGAGGCTATGAGAGAGCGTGCCAGGGAAAGGTCAGCTCAAAGCCACCAACAAACAGGCACTGAATACAAAAAGCTGGGGTTGCAACGCGTTGAATCAGCATAAAGAGTAACACATGGACCCTGCCTATCCTACGGCGATGCCAGCAGGAGCGCGCAAAGCAGCACTGGTTCTAGCGGTGAAACACTGAAAACTGCCCCAACTCCATCAGTGGGGGCCGGGTGAAAGGAACTGTGGGCAGAAACCTCTCTAACATAGGCTATCACAAGAAAAAAGCAAGTTTCAGAAAAATCCACATCAGATGATCCCCTTTTATGTTAACAGAAAAACCTCATAGGAGCCTAGTATCTAGCAAATATCTATAAAACGCAGATAGAAAGGTCTGGAAGGATAATGACCACAGCGGTTATCACTGGGGAAGTCAGTGAGGGACATGGTCAAAACAGTGCTCAGTGGCTGAACATCGACCTAGGATCCAGGAGATCGCTGTTTGACTCCCAGTCAGGGCACATGCTCAGGTTGTGGGCTTGATCCCTCGGTAGGGGCATTCAGGAGGCAGCTGATCATCATCATTGATGCTTCTATCACACTCTCTCCCTCTGCCTTCCTCTCTCTGAAATCAACAAAGACATTTTTTTAAAAAAACTAAAAAATACAATGTTGGCATCATCTGCATTATTTAAGATTANGTGACTTTCTCATCATTGATGCTTCTATCACTCTCTCTCCCTCTGCCTTCCTCTCTCTGAAATCAACAAAGACATTTTTTAAAAAAAACTAAAAAATACAATGTTGGCATCATCTGCATTATTTAAGATTAAAAAAATGGAAATATATCAATAATGTATTCATATATTATGTAGTTAGAAAATTTTAAAAGAAAGGTTAAAGTTACGCAAAAGAAGAGTTGGTGACCTCTCAGCATAAGCCCATGTGGCAGGTGTTGAGTGATCATGTCTGTCGTGTAGCCGAGGAGACTGAGGCACAGGGAGCATAAATGATGTGCCCACTTCACAAAGCCAAGAAGGCGGCTCAAGTCTTCTGACCCCAAATTCCACTCTCTTTCTACTATGTGACACTGCTTCAGGATGTGGTGTGTGTGTGCGTGTAAGGTGTGTAAGGATAGAAGAGGTGGGAAGAAATGTGCAAACAGAGCTCATGGCCAAGAGCACTGCAGGCTTCCTGGGGGGTGCAGGGAGCTCAGCACAGCTGACCCTGCCACCACCTTCTGGGCTAGAGAGTGGACCTGGGCTTTGGGGATTCTTTAGAAAGAAATGACCAGCCTTGGGCCTTGGGGCCTGGATTGAGATGCAGGTCAGGGTGAGGAAGGGGAGGTGCCGAGTGGAGACTTGGAGTCCATTAGTTGCCTGGGGCCAATGGAACATATTTCTCTTGTCTTCACTGCCCTGAGAGTCAAAAATTTAAACAACATGGACAACTGCACGTAGCCCTGGGTCCTGGTATGCGTCTCCAG